TCGCTACTAATAGTCATCAATCTGACTAACCACATTAATCATTCATCGTACGCCGAGATATTTATTTAAAAGAGTTATGCCCCTTAGAAATTAGCGTTTACAGTGGAACCTCGGTTCACGAATTTAATTTGTTCCTGAAGCCCATTTGTGACCCGAAATGTTCGTAAGCCGAAACTATTTTTCCAACATGAATTAATGTAAAATGGATTAATCCGTTCCTGATTTGAAGATGATCGCTTATTTAAACTTTAACAACAGTACTTTGTGCACAAGTTTATACACAAAACTAATGAAGATCATTAAATCTGAGAAAATAAATAAACCCAATACTAAATAGATAAAATATAGATGGACATTTCAATTTTACCGTACCTGTAAGTAGGAGAGTTGATGGCAGAAGGGGAAGGAAAGAGATGTTATTGTTTGGAAAGGGGGAGGGAAAGACATGATCGTCTCTTCATTTATAAGAATAGTATAGATCGTTGATTTTGCTATATGAAACTGAAATTGTTTTTCTCTTAACTTTTCTTTTTTTTTCACCAGTATCACTACTAGCTTTATTTGGAGCCATGACTAAGGGCTAATGAAAAGTAAAAAAAGGCACAGTACAATAAAATTGGAAAAAAAAGCATAGTACAAAACATGAACGTATACAACATGGCAGGCGACTCAGAAATAATAACGTTCGGGTTAGCTCGGTTGGGATCGGTTCGGATCGGATCGACTCGGTTCGATTAGGTTCGGCAACGTTATTCGAGAAACGAAATTTTGTTCGATAACTGAAGCATTTTGATCTCGATTTTTCGATAAGAAAACCAATTTGTTCGACATGTGAGACGTTCGAGAACCGAGGTTGCTCTGTATATTAAAATCCCTTCATCTATAATTCCGCCATGATAGATATGCCGAAAGTTCAAGGTAATTCGGCAAATAAATATCTTCCAAAAATAAAATTGACACCCTAAGAAAGAAGAATAGACGAAAATAGTTTATTTAACGAAATGTGTTACTAAATTTTTGAAAAAAAAAATGTCTTTTTTATACTTTCAAATTGAAAAACGAGTTCATTTTTGGCGAATGTTTAAAAATCAATAACAATAAGATGGAATGAAACTAGTAATAAAATAATAGTGTGAATGATTCATCTAAAAGAAATAAAAATAAGAAACAATAAAACTAATAAGGAAATACTGATAGAGTTTCATCGAAAAATACAATTAAAAAATATCTAAAAATATAATTGCAAAAGACTCTGAAATATTTTAAATATTAAAAAATCTAAAAAAATAATGTGTTTATAAAAAACGCGATGTTTTCTCTTTGAAGAGAATGCGAGACCAAATGTCTCCGACTAAATTTCCGAAATCGAGGCTGAGCGGGATGTTTGGCCCGAGTCATAATCTTAATAGAAGTGTTAACAGCCGGAAGCAAGGAAGAATTATGGCGCGTCGAAAGTAATCGGATTTATAGCAAGATTTTAAATTATATATATATATATATAATTTAAAATATATATATATATATATATATATATATATATATATATATATATATATATATATATATATATATATATATATATATATATATATATATATATATATATGTGACATATATAATGTGCACATGATAAGCTCAGAAAGAGATCCCGGCTACCCGGTTTCGAATTCCGGTCTCGAGCGTTATATTTATTTTCGCGCAAATACCTTTGGAAACGTTACTAAAGCTCGCTGTTAAAACACCCTATAAAATCCCTTCTCAGCTATGAGTTAAACTGAACAAGATAGAATCTCTAGCCGTGGAGAGAGTCGATATGAGGGCAACTTTGAATCCCAAACATATGTTGGGCTCATGCATGAACTGCAAATTGTAGGATTATTATTATTATTATTATTATTATTATTATTATTATAAAATAAATAAAAATAAAATAATAATAATAATAATAATTAAAACTATATATAAAATAAAATAAAACAATATCATCAAAATGTTGTGTAAAACAAATTAAATAAAAATTAAAAATACTCCTAGCATGCAACAAAAAATGTTCCTGCTAGAAATACGGACATCCCGCTAAAAGACGTTAAATCCAATCTCTTCACGACGAACCTTAACACGGGCAACACGTATCCAACGTCTCTCTGTAATATGGCTTGTAATATTACGGAGTAAATTCTCCCTTTTATCTCCCTTAAATAAATTGTATGAAAGTAACATACAATTTACCATACTATTATTGTCTAATTTTCTGTCAAATATGGTTTTATCTCCGTGAACACGAAGCTAATTTCTGCTGCTATGATGCTGGTCAAAACCCCACAACACTTTGGTGACCGCCGACGTGTATAAGAAAAAAAATTCATCCACAAACTAGCGTCCGCTTAGCATAGTTGCAGTATAACCCACAGGTTAGCTCTGTGTGCGTTGAAGAAACGTAAACTGGCCTCAGCATATGCGCAAGGTTAGAAACGAACGACCTTAGTGAAGATGACATGCCTTTAAGTTAAAACAGCTCGGATGTTGATTAAGCAGCACGCATCCAGCTCAGATAGAAGCCAATAACTGGCTTTTTTTTACAGAGTTAACTGTATTTTGTTTTTATTTACAAATGTCAATTGAAAATTACGAATTGGGGAAACGACAACGTCAGTGGGACGCTGTAATCAACGGCTGTCCATTTTTTTTAGGTTACAATAGTTTTATGGTATATGTGATAAAAGCGAGAAAATACATTGTGTTATTAGACGCCATATTACAGAGAAAAGTCGGACATGTGTTGACATTTATAAATATAGACACACTCTAAAACTATAAAGTAAATAAAAACTTCTGTTTAAGAAGTCAGGGATCAATTTAACTTTATATAATAAACAGGGCGCCCAATTGTATCATGATACATATCAATGATTTCGATTCTGACACCCAACAGAAAAATTCCTTATTTTCACGAGCGAACACGCGAAATTAATTATTTACTCTCTCAATATATATATATATATATATATATATATATATATATATATATATATATATATATATTAGTAGTAGTAGTAATCTTATAAGTATAAGAAACTATACTTGTTCGAACAACCTTCGGTGTCTTGATTTGCAAATAATCAAACCAATACCAAAGGGAAAAAAGGTCTAAAAAAAGAAAGAACCAAGAACTTGCATGCAAATCCAAAGCCCAAAGAAAAAAACCCGATACGAGTAAGCAAAATAACTAAATAAAGTACTCAATACAGTAAGTAGAGCAGACCTAGTTAAACCTAGAGAGCCAGACAAACCTACTAAGGTTTCACCTTAGCGGATCGTCAGGGAAGCCTTCCCTGACGATCCGTTAAGGTGAAACCCATAGTAGGCTCTCTAGGTTTAAATCTATCTATCTATCTATCTATCTATCTATCTATCTATCTATCTATCTATCTAATATGCACAGTACTTAGTTGAAAGTGCTCAATATCAGTGACAGAACAAGCATATTCAGTTGTACGGATATTAGTTTGTGAACCTGATGATCGCAAAAGCGTGAAGCCCAGAGTCACAAACTAATATCCATACAACTGAATATATATATATATATATATATATATATATATATATATATATATATATATATATATATATTTTTATATTTAAATTGAATTAATATACATATATGCATGTGTCTATGATGAAATGGATTAATTCAGATAATTATTTAATATGTTTTCTCTTTATACGTTATTTTTATAGATACAATTTATTTAAGTAAATCCTCTATTTTCATTCAAGTTAATCCATTTCATTATATGTTGTCTTTGTTTACTTTAAGATACCTTTCGTTAGCAGATATGATCGATCGAGGAAAAACATCGAAAATTTTGTGCTTCTAATCATCAATTTGGATTTGTTGGCCAGACACATCTCAGTAGCTAAATGGCATAGCACGTCAGATCAAATGATGGTTTCCGTATAGGAATACAGGTTCGATCCTTGTCGAAGAACGCGTATTTTCTACGAAGTTTCTCAAACATTCAGGCCGGTGAATGTTATTAACACTGTTTAATTAAAAACAGAACATTGACTTAAATAAATTGTATTTATAAAAATAACGTATATATATATATATATATATATATATATATATATATATATATATATATATATGTATGTATGTTTCATTAAAAACGACAGACAAGGTACTACGGTTAAGCTTTTTATTTAATTTTTCTTGTGTTCAAACAAGAGCTTTCTTTATTGGACAAAGAGTGTGTAAAAACTGTCCAAATGTTTTATATTTCCGAGCGCTTTCGGCTATAACTTTAGCCATTATCAAGGATGATTCAATTTTTCAGCTTAATTGAGTGTGTGCATTATGTGTATGTTTTAGTGTGTTGTAGATATGTTTTTAATTTCCGAATACGGTTAGCACATTGTGCCCTTGTTCGTAGTTAATATTGTTAAGAGTTGGCTTATTCGTTTTTATTATTAAAGTTTCCATAATTTTTAATCTTTTTTCTACAGGTGGGTGAAGTTAATAGATTTGTGTTTTCTACTAGTATGTTTCTAATGGGGTCTGGTAAGTTTGTGTATAAATGGGTTCTAATGGAGCTGTGATCAGATAGGTGTAACGTAAGACGTCTGGATATGCATGTGGTTGTGTAACCGATGTAATTATTTATGAGTTTAGTTTGCTCAGGAACACAGTTCCTTAAGGGGCATTTGAACTCATAGATAATGTTCGTTTTGTAATTTTGACTTAGCTGGTGTGTTGTTATTTTTGAGGATAAGGTTGGCTGTTTTAAATTTTTTTATAATAGATAATTAATTTTATTTTTTGATTCGGGTCAATTGGGGGAGTGTATTTCTTTATAATATGTCTTAATGAAATATATATATATATATATATATATATGGCTTTTGGAAATGGAAGAACCTTTTTTAAGGAATCTTTTTTCGGCCAACAATTACTATTCTTCTGAAAGATTCGTTGGAGTAACAATCATCAAAGGAGCATGAGCCAAAAAAAAAAAATCTGTTTTTTATTCGTTCCTCGTTGTTTCTTTCTTTGTTTCTTTCGCCTTTTTTATTCGTTGTTTCTTAATTCGTTATTTTCTTCTTTTTCTTCCCTGTTTCTTTTTTCGTTTCTTTCTTATTTTTCTTCCTTGTTTTTTTCTTCGTTTCATACTTATTTTTCTTCCGTGTTTCTTTTTTCATTTTTCCCCTTTTTTTCTTCCTTCGTTATTTTCTTCTTTTTCTTCTTTGTTTCTTTCATCGTTTCTTTCTTATTTTTCTTCCTTTTTTTTCTTCCATTCATACTTCTTTTCTTCTTTGTTTCTTTCTTTTTTCTTTCTTTTTCTTCCTTGTTTATTTCTTCCTTTTCTTCTTGTTTCTCTCTTCGTTTCTATCTTATTTTTCTTGTTTTTTTTCTTCGTTTCATACTTTTTTTCTTTTGTTTCTTTCTTTGTTTCTTTCCTCTTTTTCTTCCTTGTTTCTTTCTTTGTTTCTTTCTTATTTTTCTTTCTTGTTCTCTCTTCGTTTCTTTGCCCTTTTTTCTTCCTTGTTTCTTTATTCTTTTATTTCTTCTTTATTCTTCGTCGTTTCTTTATTGGTTCTTTTCTTCTTTTTCTTCTTTATCTCTTTCTTTGTTTCTTTCTTCTTCGTTCTTAATTGTTCCTTTCTTCATTTCTTTCTCCTTCTTCTACCTTTTTCTCCTCTCTCTGTGTCTCAGGGGTGGGTCCTGA